TTTTTTTTTGTTTTTTTTTTTTTTTTGTGTGTTTTTTTTTTTTTTTTTTTTTTTTTTTTTTTTTTTTTTTTTTTTTTTTTTTTTTTTTTTTTTTTTTTTTTTTTTTTTTTTTTTTTTTTTTTTTTTTTTTTTTTTTTTTTTTTTTTTTTTTTTTTTGGGGGGGGGGGGTATCATTAAATTAAATGTTATGCCACTACTAGCACTCTGTATGGGCTTGCAGTCATAAGTTCTTGGGGTAATGTGGTAAGTTTTATGTATTCTACAGATGTAAGATTTTTCATTATCTTAACCTTTTTCGATTACAGTTTTTCCTGCCTGAATTTTGAAGCACGACCTTGAAATGGAAACTTGTATATCTATTACTGTTAATTTGTATAATATATGGTTTCAGATATCCGTGTTTTGAGAATCCGTACCCTATGGATCTGCATGAATCTCCTGTAACCTGCTGCCAGTATTATGCAGACTGCCCACCAGATCTCATACCAGCCTTCTACTCAGTTGGCTCTAAGCAGCAGAAGAAGTCTGGATTTAGTACAAAGGTAATCATCAAATGGACTATTGTACTGTGAGGGTTATAGATCAATTAGAACAGTTTGTTAATAAATAGTTTTTGTGGTCCTCTGTTTAAATAGTTTTTTTTCTTCTCTGGATTTGTTTTGTATTTTATGTTTCATTTGGTTTTAATGTGTCATGGTTGTTGTTATTGTTGTTGTCATTAATAAATTGCCAATGCAAACACAGAGTTAAGTGTTATACATAAATAAATAAGTGGTAACTTTGAATTTTGTCATGCTGAAAAGTAATACAAATAAGAGTATTTATATGTATATTCCTTTTAGGATATTATATTTCTTTTCAAGGTTTGCAGATTTATGGAAGATAAGTATTTTGTATGGATAAAAATTATACTGTTGCTGTTTTGCAGAAAGAATTGATTTTTGTTACTATTTCTGATTCCCATTTTAGGAGTGGCCAGTAAAAGGTGGAGAATGGGGCACAACTACATGCAGCTACCCTGAAATTATTATTACTGGGTAAGATTCGAATAAAAGAGTAAACATTTTTTAATGACACATTCATTTTTATTGAAAATTTGAATTGTTTTTCATATCATACAGCAATGCATTCGTCAACAATAAAACACTGCATAATTCCCAGACCTCATTGTTGATAATGGATAGTATGTCTTTCTCTTTAGTCATGCCGATGGCTCCATAAAATTCTGGGATGCGTCTGCAGTAACACTGCAGGTGCTGTACAAAGTGAAGACTGCTAAAATATTTGACAAGCACCATAAAAACAAGTGTTCAGAGAATGGCAGCGGTGGTGTTGGTGAGCCAGAGGAGGGGCCATTTGCAATACAGCAGTTGTACCTGGAGGCAGAAAGTAGGATGTTAGTGGTAGCAGGCAGGACACATGTTGTTCTACTCAAGTACAGTAAACAGGAGGGGGTGCTGGAGGTGCCGGTAAGTACTGGAGACTGAAACCAAACCACACCAATTTGCTTTTGGCAGATTCTTAATGATAATATTATACCACATTAATGAGCACTGAGATGTAATATTGCCAAGAGATTACATATTCGTATTTAAAATGTTTTTGTACATGTTTAAGATATTTGAAGTTAGTGAAGAGGAACTACTTATTACCACTTCTCAAGTGCTGTCATTTTGATAATTTATGGATTTTTGTCCTTATACCTATTATTCAAGGGTAATGATTTGGCTCTGAGGTAGTTGTAAGGGTAACATAATCTTGTTTTATGTGAATAATTATATGTGGACAAGTGCCATGCAATTGATTTAGCTCCTACAGAAGTGTTAGGTAACAACATTTTAAAAAATGGTCAGGCTATGATGATTGCAAAATTGTAAATACCATTTGGAAATCTCTGAAGTAAAATCAACCCTTGTTCTTGTTTATGTTGAAATTTTGTGCCAATATATAAAGCACTTATGTTAAAGCCTGTTGGCAAGCTGTCAGTGTATTGATCCTGGACACTTTTGTCAGCCTGTATTGGGACTATTCCATTGGTGGTTCCTGAATAATGTATGATATGTGCATTTTATGTGAGCAGATAAACTGAATGCTCTTGTAATAAGAAGAGCAGCATGCATTTTTTCCTATATTTGTGTATTTATTATCAGGATGAGGCTGATTGCTTCTTTGCATCTAGAAGGGTAGGTTTATCACACTTCATCCTGAAAATTATCCCCGTTTCATATGATCAAAGTTTCAGATGATTTGAATTCACTATGTCTCCCTAAATTTAATTGATTAAACCTCAAAGGGACCCTTCTCCAAACTCACATTATCTCAATCCTGAGTCAGTGATTTGGGCAGTTTTATTAGTTTTGAGAACCCCAAGAAGAGACATGAATTGAACTGCTGCTATCAGTGAACTTTCTCCTTTTTTGTGACTTGATCATTTTTGCAACAATTTTTTTTTCTTTATAGTACTTTTGTTTGATTGGTTTGCTTTCAAATGCTGAGTCTCATTGAGAAATTAATTGTCACAATCATGCCTTCCTTGGAAAAAAGCAGCAGTGGTTTATTAAGAAAATGCAGACATACAGACACCACCTTACTGCATAAAGAAATATACTTAGCAGGCTAAGGTGATTTGAAGGATATCCACAAAGAATTGAGTAATTTTGTAAGGTATTTTGAATCAATAAGCCTAGAAATGCCAGCACATCTCAAGAGGGAAACACTGGGAATTTGTGAAGTCTAGGACTAGGAAAGGGTATGCACATTATTCGAAGCCAGTGATTAATTCGATTTTGAATCTGGAAGCCTGCTTCTACGCTCTCCATATGTGAATGTCAGCTTTTGGTCATTATCCGTATAACCTTATTAATGATGATTGAGGCACATTATAAGTTCATAATTTAGCCTTGCACCAGGGCTTACTACTTTCTTCCCTTTTGAATCTGATAAGCATTGCTACTGCCTTCTCACCTGAAAATTCAATAACTGTCAGAAGAAAATGAATAAGCACTTTCAGTTTCAGGCCTTGGAAAAAGTTTGCTATTTCCTATAAGATCCACATCTCATCCTCTCTAATGGGCTTTCAGAGCAATTTTGTAGATCAGCACTTAAATTATATCATATTTCAAATTTACTGGAATTGGAATCTTACAATAGGGTTGTCTTTTTGTCTATCGAGTCCTTCTCATTTTCAGTGATAGTTACAGTACTTAGTAAAAACATAACTTCATTATGCTATATTTAACTGCTACTCTATCTACTTGAATGTATATATACCGTATAATTTTAGAAAAAGCATTAGTCATTTTCCAAGTGAAATCGGTTTGATATTAAAAACAAAAACATTAAATATAACTTGATCAGATAATTTTGTGATAATTTACAAATTTGCAGTATTAAGATGATTGTATGTATATATATATATTTTTTATTGTATTTTAGAGTCTTGAGATTTCTATTGTATATGAAGTATTTGATGAAGTAGAAGAGACACCTGAGTTTGAGTTCCCACCTATTCGTCCCTCTATTGGGTTAACATCACAGAAAAGTGGGAGTGTGGGCTCCTACTCCAGCTCTGCTTCAGACACAGCAAAGCAGGTAAGAATACACAGTGAACATGGCCTTGAAAACAAAAACCAGAATAACAGTAAAATATTCAGCAGAAATTACTTAAGACAATATTGATTTGCACTAGCCAAAACTTTTTATGAAAATCATCAGGGATTCTCAAACAAGGAGAAAATTTCCATGCAGGTTGAAGGATTTGTTTTTGAAATGATTTGCCAGGTGCTGCTGGTGATTGAATCATGGTCAACTAAAAAGGAATTAGATAATTTAAAAAAAAAAAGCAGAACTATCCAATTTTTTTTTTTTTTTACATCTTCAGTGATCTTTTCTAATAAAAATCATTTGAAAAATGATGATGCTATCTTGGTGGAATTGTATCTTGAGCTGTGAAAGAAGAAGGACATTTCGATTTCATGATACAATTGCTTAGCATGTAGTGCTTTTTTAAAAAATCATGTGCTTAGATGTGCAGGCATAGTAGATCACAGTATTAAGACATGATAGATTTTGTGCACTTTATTTTTCCTTAGTGTATTGAATGGTCTTTCTCTTGCACATTGATATTGCTGTATAGTAATTTGAACAATAATAGTTAAACGGAGCATGTTTTATACTGTTCTATTGTTTGTCTGTTTGAATATGTTTTTGTGAGCCTTGATTTTACTGCTTTTCTGTTGTATGACAGTATCAACATCAACAGCAGCAAAATCAAACTGTGAGTATGAATGCTTTGTTAGTTACTAGTACGTTCAGTGTATCTCTATCATCTGTGAAGCTTTTTGATTTTTTTATAACTCAAACACTTTTAGTACTAATTCAATTGATTTTTTTTTTTTGGATACCTAAAAGCATTTAGCACTGTGTGATATCCATTTCTGGTTCCAAAATGAAAATTTCTGTGACTTCTTTCTCTCTGTGAATGTATCATATCCCTAGTGGTGATGCATGGTATAATGGATGTTCTGCTTCATTTCAAACCTTACTTTCCCTATAGTTTTGATGAAGTACATGTATGATAATCACTATGATGTGAATGTGTCATGCATTTCAAATGTTTCCAAGGGGCTGGAGACTGCATTAGATGACTGGGATGTCTGTGCTGATGTGAATGAAGAATATGATGATTATTATGCTAAAATACAGAGTTGGATTTGAAACTGGTTGCCCTTATTATGTGGCAACTTGGTCTGCATGGTTATATGTTGTCATAGATTATTTAGTGGTGCTAGATAGTTGTAAATGCCATTTGAATAGTACAGACATTACGAGTGTTTGTGATAGTACAAAAATGAATTATAAATTAAGAAATATTTCCTGAAAGTGCTTTTGTTTGTCTGATTAACTAAGCTTTAAATCATGACTTAGTGATGCTCTGGCAATGGGAAAACAATGTGAAGGCTGAATGTTTCATACAGTATAAAGTTCTGATCATAAGTTATCATTTATAATATTTTTTGCACAGGTTAATGTGTACTTTAAAGATTAAACATTTCCACTGATTCTGTATTATTTAAGATGATAGTTGTATTTTAAAGACTTTCAACAGGCTAAAGGATTCTATAGCCTTGTCTCTAACAAAATTAATATGTATTGGTCTCTAGGAGCTGTTTACCAGCGTGAAAGTTAAAGGAGGCTCTAGAAAGTTTTCAGCAGGCTATCAACCAACATTGGTCTGCGTCTTAGGAAGTGTGGAGGGAGAAAAACCAGGAAACATAACCAGTATCAGCGTCAACTCTTCATATGGGCTGTGAGTACTCAGATGTTTGAAAAGTGTTTGAAGTAGTGAAATGGGATAAACTGGATATGTTTAACATTACCTATACATGTGTGCATTGCAAAGTTCTGAGAATTGATTTAAAAGTTTTATCCATAAAGCAGGGATGAGATTTTTCCAACTTTTGGCAGATTTCTTGCTTTTTGGGAGCCGGGTATATCATTGGTCTAGGCATCCCCCCTGGACCTCACGCCATATTTTCCGACTTTAATTTGTCACTAAATGGCAGTCTCATCCCTGGTAAAGTGATAGTCAGGCAGAAGACAACTCGGTGAATTATAAGATGGCATGTTTGATTTTGTAGTTGAAAGATGTTTCTCTTTTCCAGACTAGCATTTGGCAATGACACTGGGCTGGCTATAGTGGATTATATGCAGAAGACGTGTCTGTTGAACATGGGAACACCAGATTTGTATGGTAAGCTCTGGGATTACAGAAACAATGTGACATTAACATTGTTAACTTAATACGAATGAATACTTACAGGTTATAATCTGTTGTATGCTTTCTGATTCCATTGTAACAATGTTATTATAAGCAGCACAGACAGAATGATAGCAACGATTGTTCTTGTTCAGCTACAAGTATGTGGATATAAAGACGGCTAGCATATTTGTTTGTATAATGAAGCCTAGGTATTATTAAAGGAACTTTTTTTGTATTTTTTGGGTTGTCTTGTATTAAAGATTAATTTGCAAGATGTGTGATATAGTTACTATGCTTCTAATGTTTGATGTAATGTCATTTCACAGGTTCTATGGACCCTTACCAAAGAGTGCCACGATCTCCCAAGACAACCAAGTCACGGCCTAATGACCTTCAGGGAGTGCAGGCGCAGAACTCCACCACTTCAGAGGACTGTAAATCGCCAACTAGTGAACAGGTAAAGCATTGTACAGTCATTTGTGCACATTTATTTGCATTTTTTATGAAAAGGCATATTATACTTTACCTTAATATAGACATAGATATTTGATTGTGTTGAAGTGAACCGGGACCTTTTCCCCAAAACCTATTTTAGCCATGGGGTGTATGGAAGTTAATTTAATGTGGTATTAAACAAATGATCTTAGTTAATCAAAGCTTTATCAAACCAGACCTTCCTTGCTTATGCAATAACATGGACATGGTTGTCAGTTTGACTTAATTATTTATTCCACTGACAGGTTGGAACATAAAACATTTTCTCCCTTTTATAGATATATAATGAAATTTAGTGGACAACTTATATATATATATATATATATATATATATATAGTATAGC